CCTCCCCAACTGAAAAGAAAATCATCACATTTGTCGTTTGTGACTAAAATGGTCAGAAAACAATGAATGCCTCGTTCTGTGCTTTCAGCTAAGGTAAGTTATACTAAAGGTGACCAGTTCCTCGAATTGGGGAGCAGTGTCTTCAACTGGACGTCTGGTCAGCCAGATACCGAGGTCATCAGGCGTATGGAACGTGTTTCACGTTCTTTTCGCGCCCCTGAATGGACAGAATTTCCCGAATGGGCGGGACCACCAGCTGGTCGACCACTCAACTTGTCTGTCGCAGGCGAAAGGTTGCCAGAGTGGACTCGTACATTTCAGCAGTTAGACAGTAATCTACCGAGTGCAGGCTCGAACCCTGACCCTTTGTGGCCGCCTGGTAAATCTTCGCCCAGCGTGAAGAGGCCTGAACACGTGTATCCCCACGGACAACAGTGCAGCGCTCAAGAGTTCTATTGTCACGACGGCACGTGCGTGCCTCTATGGTGCCGATGCGACGGAGTGCCGCAGTGTTTCGACGGCTCGGATGAGTATGGATGCCACACGGAGCCGCCTGAAAGTTCGCGTGAGCCGGCTAAGAAAAGCTTGGTGTCTGCTGTGCTCATGGGTCTACGCATGCTGCATGATATTGCATGGAACAATGATTCACTTTCAGATTCTTGTCCTGCCTTTTTCCTAGCATTTAAAAAAAAAAAATCAGGGCCATATCGGATGCCCTCGTCTTTTAGTTTTAATCTCTCAGCAAACTAGTTTTGTTACTGTCTGCTTGCCAATGATTGATATCGAGGCATACACACTTCCAAGTGATTTCGTCCTCAAAAGCATCTGCATGCTCGTATTTTTGTCTCTGTACTATCTGAGTATTCTGCCTTGTACAGGTATGGAAATGGCTGTCCTTTTGTTTTAAACAAAGCTTGCATCATGTTTTTGGGGAGTGTAATGTATGCTGTCTGAGCCTGGTGCGTCATGGGGCAAGTCCAGCTGTGGTGGAAGAACTCTGAATGAACTGTTGTACAGCTGAGAAGAATCTGGACATTTTATTGCACAGGGGATCAGATGACTTGGTAAAAGCTTGTATATGTGTGGAAGACAAACAAGACAAAAGAAAAACTATAAGCACGCGTGAAGAACAAATATAGGCAAAGGCATGTGTATGAGTGAGGAACAAATATAGGCAAAGGCATGTGTATGAGTGAGGAACAAATATAGGCAAAGGCATGTGTATGAGTGAGGAACAAATATAGGCAAAGGCATGTGTATGAGTGAGGAACAAATATAGGCAAAGGCATGTGTATGAGTGAAGAACAAATATAGGGAAAGGCTTGTGTATGAGTGAGGAACAAATATAGGCAAAGGCATGTGTATGAGTGAGGAACAAATATAGGCAAAGGCATGTGTATGAGTGAAGAACAAATATAGGCAAAGGCATGTGTATAAAATGATGATCATTTTTACGTCCTTCATTTTTTGGTTCACACATGGGTAGTCTAAGCCCTTATACACATTATTATGTTAGTTTTGATGACAAGATTTAATTTACTGATTTATTCAGATCATATTATGCTCTCTAACCAATTTCTTCTTCCAACTTGCAGCTTTGTGAGTGGCACAAGCCCAGAGACAAAGCCGGGTGTTTGCACTGTACACATTTCTTCCTGTTTTTCTTTTGTTAAGAATGGTTATGATAACTTTATGTAGCTTTTTAGTTCGATCTGTTTAGCGGCACATGCAGTGGTACTGAAAAAGCACAGCACATTTTTCTAACCTCTGCATTATATAGGGAAGTGGAATATTATCATGACCATGCTAAAACCAATCATTTCTTTTTTTTTTCTCAGCTTGCTACAGCTCCACTGACACACTGGATATCGCCTTCGACGAAAACGATGGTATGTTAATCTTAACTCGGTTGAATTGTCCAAGTCGTTGCCCATAAGCACTGAGTTTTTTCTGCTTTTTGTCTTTTGCTATAATTTAAATGTTGCCCAATACTTTACAAATTGTGTGTGTCTTCTTTATTCCTAGCTTGCTTGAGTAAAACTGATGTTGGTATAATAACATGACACTACATTTGATCTTATGATATGTCTGTTGTTGGCAATAATATATTGTGGATGTCCCGGTAACTGATAGTGTTGGTTGCTTACCATCTGAGAAATTCTGCACACTTACGGTTACTCACTCACTTACAAGTAGAAAAAGATTGATACTCAAACGACAGTTTCCCAAGGTAGTCTATTTCTTGAGTAAACTTGACGAAATCAAAATTTGCCTAGAACGTCATGGTAGATATCTAAATATGCACAACTTCACAAAACATTAATTGCTTTTTAAAGTTTCGGGAAGAACTCAGGGAATCTAATTACATTGTTCCCATGTTTTATTATTTGATGTGCATGGATTTGTGGTCCATTTGGAAATAATGATATGGTAGAAGCAAGTAAACTGATTGTGTTCCTAGGGCTTTTTTTTTTCATTGAACCCCCCCCCCCCCCCCCTAAGAACACAATCAAGTTTTCCCCATCAAATACGGTTGCTGTACACTTCTGCCGAACTGGCAAACGTGTACTGCAGCCGGATTTGACACTATACAGGGAAAGGATTCCCGTCCAGGACCAGGCTCGTTTCCTCGGCGTTATATTCAACAAAAAACTCACATTCATATCACACATCAAAGACCTTTGTGTGAGGTGCCAGAAAGCGTTAAAAGCTTTGAAAATTCTATCGCTTCCAGAGTGGGGCGGGGACTCAAAACACCTTCTCCATTTGTTCTACGGATCGTCTAAACCACACATCCTAAAAATGCTTTACCCAGTGCAAAACCATGGACTCCGCCTCGCTCTTGGGGCTTTCCGCACTTCTCCGGTGGAGAGCCTCCAGGCCGAGGTAAACATACCATCACTCTCACTCAGACGCACACTACTCTCTCGACAATACACAATTAAACAGAGCTCAACACCAGAGACCCAGCACACAACTGCATTTTTAAAACAAACCCAGAAACCATGAACAAATTCCAAAACAACGAATGACTCATGAAACCCTTCAGCATCAGAATCCTTGAGGCCCTCAAAAACATACACTTTTCCAAACAAGACATCCAACAATTTCTTTTCCCCGACCTCCATCCGTGGCACCTCACCAAGGCAAAAGTAGATTTACAGCTGACCACATACCACAAAGCAAGCACAAACACCAAAACATTTAAAGCAGAATACAAAAAACTTATAGAAAAATACCCCTCCATTTTCTCTGCGGAGGCCACTGCCTTTGACATGGCACTGGACTCCGTAGAAAATTCTCCTAACAAATCTTTCCTTATCCTTTCTGATCTCTGTCTTGCATCACCTCACTCACAAACTGCACACTCGTACGCCCAAAAATAGTTAGGCTACAACAGAAAATACACACCTTAACTGAAACAGGGAAAAATATCGTGTTCGCATGGATACCTAGCCATGTGGGCATCCGAGGAAACGAGCAGGTAGATGACCTGGCGAAGAAATCCTTATCCCTTCTGCTGGGATCAACCACGAACACTCTCCCACAGACTGACTTTAAAAATAAAGTAAAAAAATACACCTCCTGTCTGTGGGAGAGCCACTGGAAAAAACAAACTAATAACAAACTACACAACATTTAACCCAAACTGGGACCGCGGAATCCTTTGGGCCTCTCTAGAAGAGACGAAGTCATTTTTACTCAATTACGCATCGGATACACGGCCCTAACACACAAATACCTCCTTCCGGGAGAAGAGAAGCCGTTCTGTGTCGGATTCGACACCGATTTTACCATTAGACACATTTTAACTGAATGTCTAGACTTTGGAGAGAGCCTTAGGAAATACTTTAAATACAAAAAATTGCAAGACATTTTTTCCGTCGTTGGTCCCAACAGAATTTTGAATTTTATCAAGGCCATTGGCCTTTATGGAAAGTTTTGAACATTTTTAAATGTCATTTAGAAAGTTGTTTTAAATTTAAATTTAAATCTAAAATCTATTTACACTCGATTTTTAACGTTTTAACAATTTTAGATAGAAATATTTACCAGTATCAGTTCAAGAAATAAACTGTTGAGAAAAAAACCCAGCTTGTTTCGCCCGCTCATATGACCTAATGCAGTTCTTACTGTGTCTTGGGTAAAACCCCATACTAAACTAAACTATTCATTGAAAAGGCGTGGGCTGAATTTCATAGTTTTGGGTGGTCAAACTTTCCATGTAAACCTGATATCATCATCATCATCATCATCCAGTGTCAGATCTGCGACAGACATCGGCGATCATGGTTTTCCATTCATTCCTTTGCTTGGATGCTCTCAGAAAAGCTACGTTTCCCTGATCTTTCCCTGTTACCCATTTGCTTAGGTTCCCTAAGTATGTTGTTCTGGGCCTACCCCTGCCTCGCTCGCCCTCAATTTTGTCAGTGAGGGCTTGATGTTCAAGACCCTTATGTCTATTCAGGTGTCCCAAAAACTGCATAATTTGTCGTTTCCTGATTGTTTTTAACATTGAGCGTCCCACGTGGGCTTCATCAAGCACTACCTCATTTGATTTCTTTTCCTTCCACGATACTCTTAGCAGTCCCCTAAGAAACCACATTTCTGTTGCCTGTATTTTATTGTCACTGTCTTTAGTGATTGTAAACCTGATAACACAAAGTATTTTCTTTTCTTCTAACCTCGATACCTGGAGGCACCCGCTTATATAACGCTCGTTCATTCTTTCTCCCAGGTTCAGGCCCATCTTCGCAACCGTCAAAAATAGTGCTGCAAAACAACAGACAAGCATTTGCCTATTCTGTTCTGTTTGACCCTAAAGATCTTGACCAGGGTTACCCTTTCGACCAATACTTTCGGGGTGAATACGATGCTTTCAAAACCCCCCCTGGGTACTATGTCACAATGACAGGAAAGCTGGACCGAGATGTAAGTATTTTTCAATTTCAAGAAAATCTGCTCAGAACCATGTTCACTTTGTATTTTTTTCTGTGATCTCCTTCCTTGGTGGTCAACAGGTACTCCCTCTGGTGGCTTTTGGTGTTTTTCACCTGATGGCGAACTATGAGCTGCTTCTTCTTTCCTATCAAACATCTATCGTCCTTATCTCCCCTTCTTCTTTTTTATGTTTGTTACTCCCGTGTAACTCCTCTAATCTTCTGGCGCTCATATGACCTTATGCAGTTGCGAGCGCTGTAAAACATTTACTAAAACAAAAAACGAACTATATGCTGAGGTGATTTCATGCTGGATTGCCATTCATTCTTTAGCTGGTGTGGTCTGGGACATTGTCATGGCACTCCACCCACTTGACTGGCCCTATTATAAATGCATTTGGTATTGTAATTTTGGGTATACAGCTTTATAGGTGACCTGACAATGTTGGGAAAGATATGTAACTTAAAACCAAACTTCAATATTGTGTCACAACCTCGTGGAATCAGGTGCTCGTCAATTTTTTGACATATGGGGTTATTGGTATCATCTTTAAGTCTGTTCATTTGCCTTTCTTTTTGTGGAAAAAATATCCATCTATGTTGAATAGGAGTGGAGATATTTGTGATAGAAGGAGGTCTGGGTCGCCTGGTTTTTAGAGGTAAAATTTACCAGAAAATGGCCGCCACAGTTTGGTAACTTCCATAGCTTAAGAGACCTTTGAAAATGAAAATTTACATTTTTTTGGTCTTTAATCAATGTTTTTCAGTAAAATTCACCAGATATGTGTTTTTAAACGGATGTAAAGGGTGTTGAGCCAAAAAACAAAAACAAAATTGGAAAAAAATTGCCTAACAGTCAGAAAAATACCATTAGACAAAATTTCATCATTTTGACGAGCACTTGATTTCACCATGATGCCTCACTATTATCACCAGCTAACTTGCCATGACTGGCTCAGTCTACTCTCTTTTTTGAAACCTAACTGGATCGATAGTGTCTTCAGTCGTAATTTCCCCTTTGATACATACACATGAGTAAAGGACTATTGGTTGGGGCCATTCTAGAATGGTTTTCTTCTTCTTCTTCTTCTCCTTCTCCTCCTCCTCCTTCTTTTCTATTTCACCTCCGTCCTTATCTGTTCTTTGTCAAAGATCGATATGTGGGTGGTTGGAGGGCGCCACTGGTAGGTCCCACTTCTTTGCATTCTCCTCTGTTGTTTCCATCTGCCTGTCTTACTTTTTCTCATCACTAAATGACCATTATAGTGTCGATGTGCTTCTCTTTACTCACACAAACAAACAAAAGATGGATGACCAGCTGTCATGGACAAATTGTTTTCTCTGACAGGGTGCCACTGTGAATACAGATGATGATCTGAACATCCTGCAGTACCAGCTGAAGTGCGAGTCAGGTCCGGGCGTTGTAAGTATATTTTAAATAATTTCCCACAAAAAAATAATATAATGTGTATTGTGTCTTGATGGGATAAAAAAAGAAACCATTCAAACATTTTGCCTTTCACTCATAAGAAATAAATGGTGTAGATCATAGTGCTCACAGGTACGACAGGAAGGATGATGTATGGCCACATGAATAAACCACTGATCAAAGATCCAACCAATGAGTTGAGGAGGGGAGATCAATCCATAATCTTCCAACTTAGAACACAACATGTACCCCTCAACCAACATCTCAACCGAATTGGAGTAAAGCAGTCTGCTGCCTGCCCACTATGTGACTACCCCTCAGAGACAGTAGAACATCATCTGTTCTTCAGTAGAAAATTAACTGATTTAAGGGGATGTTTTCTTGCCAAGCTACCCCACACATCTAATTGCCTCTACCCCTCAAGACAACAATTAGAACAGACATGCAGCTATTACCGAATGGCATCATGCAGAAGAGTTAACGCTCAGATGCTACTGGATCGCTAACAACAACAATCATGGTGCTCGCTACTGTGTGAAAGAAAAACCCATTCACTTGAATTGCCATTGAGATGAGAAATCGTTATGGTTGCTCAAGTCGTAGCATTGAAAAACATCTGGAATAGCACAATCAGATTTCCTACCTGGTTATTGCTCCAACATTTTTGTTTATTAGATGAAATATAGAGGTATGGCACTAAGAGTTGTTAAAGAAAAAGTTAATTAAGAAGTATAGTATCTTACACTACCACATTTAGAATCTTTATACCTGTGATGAAGAATTGTTGAATTGTTAAATGTGTTTTACAAAAGTCAACAGCATGTATTTTTCTTTTCTTAGGTTTTTCCTCCCTGTTTTTTTGTTTGTAGCTCAAAACATCCTGGAATAACTGCGATGAAAGTGAGCACCATATTCAGTTCTTTGTCTTTTGCTTTCCAGGCATACTTCAAGATTCTGAAGATTCGAATCATTGATGTGAATGACAACACACCGCAGTTTGTTCAAGCTCCATATGCAGTGACAGTCAATGAGGTACCGAAGCTGCTTTTGATGCCTTACTTCTTCTCATAGCCCTGACAGAGCTTTTGGGCAGCACTACTGACTGAAGTTGTCTGTAGGCCATTCCCAAAGGGGGGATATTACCATGTTCTTATGCGCTGTAGAATTGTAAATGGGCTGATTTATCAGTGTCATGTTCTTACTGTGCCGGAACAACTTAGGGGGGAACTGCTGGTTTTTCTTTCCACATCCTTACTATTGTCATTTTTCCTCTACTTCTTTTGTATGTTTGTCACTCTCTTGTGGACTGCTATATCCGGGGTGCCTTGATAGTGGAAGCAGACTTTGTGATGTTGAGGCTAGAGAGGTGAGCAGAGTAAGCCTGATTTCCCGTTTGGGCTTCTCTGTTGACATCTACCCCTTGGCGCTCATATGACCTTATGCTGTTGTGAGCACCGTAAAACCTTACTAAAACAAACAAATAATAGAGCTTGATGTAGTTGATTTTTACGTACATGGCCATTTTATTTCCATGGAATGTAGAATATCATCCCATGCCTGACAGGCAGCCACACGCTGTTCAGAGGAGCTAACAAACTCTGATTTTTTAGAGTAGTCTACAAAAAAACTTTTCACACCATAATAGTTCATATTTTCAAGCTTGACTTTGATTGATAGTATTTATAAATGGATGAGGTACCCATTATGGAGCATACCAAGTCCATCGGTCGCGTGCTCGTCTCATGACAGAACAAAACTAAGCCATGCGCAGGAAATGCGTCTCCCGTCAAGAAAGGAGCCTACGCATCCATGCGTATGCCGGTATCAATGGGTTAATGTACTCTTAAGATTTATGCTGACTTGAGTGGTTTCAGTTTTGGGTAGAAATTTGTCACGCCGCTGCAGAATCTGGCGCTCGGCAATTTTTGGGCAAATGGAGTTATTGGTATCAACTTGAAGCTTTTTCATTTGTCTTGCTTTTGATGAAAGAAATGCCTATCTATCTTGAATAGAAGTTGAGATATTTGTGATTATGGTTATAGCTATTTTAAAAATAACCATGGGAAGAAAGCGTATGGCAGAAGGAGAGAGTTAATAGATGGGGCTGGAAATGATATAAAGAGAAAAAAACTTAGAACATTTCTATCTTTTTGTGTGTTTGTGTACCCGTGTGTGCATGTGCATATGACGTGTGTCCATGTGTGCTTGTGCTTATGTGTATCCATTTATGCTGTCTTGAGTGGTTTCTCTGCCGTTTTGGTATTGAACCTTTGTTTGATACATTGATCTATATCTTTGAGCTTTTGGCTGTGAAAAAGAAATGATCCACTGTCTTGTGTGGGTGATCTTATTACAATGGGTACTTGCTGCCCATGTCTGTTACAAATTCATAATGCAAAAAGCAGAGAGAAAATACTGATCCCACGGTTAATATTCTCTGTCCATTTTTCTTGCAGCTGACCCCTGTGGGCTTAACGATCTACCGTTTGATTACGGCCACTGACCTGGATGAATCCAACAACAAAGTGGTTTCCTTCAGCTTGTCAGATGATCTGAACTCTCTGGTGAGCCCATAGTGTTTCTTGAGAGGAAAGAGCAGTATAAAAAGGCTACTTTTTGCTTTCAACCCCCCCCCACCCACACACACAATAAAAAGAGAAAAAATATGAATTGCTGTTGCTGTTGCCAATGCTGAAAATTTGACAAACTTTTCTCTGCCTTTTTGGTATTGAACCTTTGTTCGATACTTTGCTCTATATCTTTAAGTTTTTGGCTGTAAAAAAGAAATGATCCACTGTCTTGTGTGGGTGGTCTTATTACAATGGGTACTTGCTGTTTGTTGAGGTAGAGGTTTACTTTCATAAGTTCGACGCCCTAGCTGACCATAAATGGTTTATTTATAGAGGCACCAGCTATCCATGTCGATGCCCTAGCTTTAGAAAAGATAAAAGTCGGAGAAAATGTATTTGGAGTAGAAGAAAGGCTATGAAAACTTGCTCATGTCCTATGAAACGTTTTTGCCCAGATGAGGGTGGAAAGGGAAAATAGTTATGCTTTAATAGATCCAGGGAGACACTGTATAATTGGTAAACTTCACTTGCCCTGGGGGGGGGGGGGAACTGTTTTTAAAACATTTTTTCCTTCTGAGGCTGTGGATGAAAGCCTTATTCTTATAACTTTTCTGTTTTCGAATGGAATAAAAAAAGTAAAAAGTTAAAAAGTGATATTCTGCCTCTAATTTTGAATGAAATCCATTTCAGTATCATTTTACCTCACAATTTTTCAATGAAAGCCTATTTAATATCATTCTCCTGTGTCTGATGAAAGCAATTTAAATGCAACTTTCCTCGTCAGTTTCCGGATGGGACATCAAAGTTTGCCTTGCCTTCTCCGCAAGAAGGTCTGGTCGCTGTGGCTGGGGCCCTTGACTTTGAGAGCATGTACAGACTGGCCGGGGGTGATGCTTCCAAGACTTTCTACAATATGATCGTCACTGTCAGCGTGAGTCTTCATTTTTTCATACTTGCTTGTTGTGTTTGTGTGTGTGTGTGTGTGTGTGTTTAAGTCTGTATGTTTGTTGTGTGTGTGTTTGTGTGTGTGTGTGCACGTGCGTGCGTGTACTATCTGTATGTATGTGTGTGTGCGCGTGCGTGTGCACACGTGTGTGTGTGTGTGCGTGTGCTTGTGCGTGTGTGTGTGTGTGTGTGTGTGTGCGTGCGCGTGTGTGCGCGTGCATGTGCTTGTATGTGTTTGTGTGTGCGTGCGAGTGAGAGTGAGAGTGAGAGTGAGAGTGAAACAAAGTGAGAGAGATTGGAGGGAGGATGGATTGTAAAGTTTAGAAAAAAACGCGGTGGAATCAGGCGCTGGTCATTTTTTGGGCATGTGGTGTTACTGGTATCATCTTAAAGCTTGTTCAGTTGTCTTGCTATCGGTGAAAAAATGCCTGTTTATCTTGAAAAGAAGCCGAGATATTTGAGATTGAAGAAGTTGAGGTCGCCTGGTTTCAATTTGTTCTTAATTGGACATCAGTGGTGTTAAGCCAAAAACGAAAAATTCGATAAAAATTGCCAAAACTGGCAGAAAAATGCCAGTTTCTTCAATTTCATTATCTTGACGAGCGCCTGATTTCTCCACACTGCTTCACATATTCATTTGTTTTCTTCTCCAGGACAACCCCACCACAGGAGCCCCTCGCACCAACACCACAACCCTGAAAGTGACAATTGTCGATGGCGATGACTTGGGCCCAGAGTTTGTCTATGACTCGTGCATCCCCAGCTCTGCTCCGCTTGGCAAGCTGTGTATCCGTGCCACATACCTTGCTTCTATCTTCTCAGGGAATTCTGTGGTACGAGATTTTCCACGTCCTTAAATCTTTTATTACTGACATTTAGAAATAATTTTGGAAATAATTCCATATTAAAGGACCCTGTTCTCATGGAACATTTATATACATTTTGAAAATAGGAGAAAGTTGTTTGGTTTGGAGAGCATTCGAGTTAAAGTGTGACGATGTACATAGTTGTTCAGTACTGAGTGTTTAGAAAATATGCTGTCTTTTAGATGTATCTACATATTGCCATCTCTGAAAAATTTTTATTCTCATTCGCAAAATGCATGCATTGTGCCTTTTCCTAACGTGTTGAGATTTCTTCTTGTTTCGCGTGAACAGGGAGGTGAACTGACTTTCACAGCTCAGCCAAATCGGACAAACAATGCCCAGGTGGAGATTGTGATGCAGGATCGAGACACTCTCAACTCTTCCATTGTTTGCGTTATCAGAGAAAGTAAGTTATTTTTTTATATAAATACGCAGGTGTCAGAATGTAGCAATGAAAATTGTTCCTGTGAAATTGCCGTGTGGTTTTTGTTGAAAATATGTATGTTCACAAAGGGTTTGACCTGTTTGTTATGGGATTTGTAACTTCTTCTGTAAATCATTATCCCATGGTTTGGTCTCTGGAACTACTACTAAAGCAGTGACCAAAACTGAATCTATAGTTCCATAAAACACCTACTCAATCAATCAATCAATCAATCAATCAATCAATCAATCAATCAATCAATACTTATAAGCAGTTACCATTAGTAAAGATTGATACCCAGTTTCTACTGACCCAGCCTGGCTTGAGCAACATTTTTTTACACTATTGAACCCCCCCCCCCCCCCTCCCCGGCGGTGCCACTGACTGAAGTGTCTGTAGACCTTTCCTAAAGGGGGGGGGGGGGGGGGGACATTAACATCTCGAGTTCTTGTGCACAATAGAATTGTAATTGTAAATGGACTGATTCATCAATGTCATGCTCATAACTGTGCCTGAACTGCAACAGGCAACTGCTGCTTTTTCTTTCCTAATCCTTACTACCATCATTTTCCTCTACTTCTTTTGTATGTTTGTCACACTCTTGTGACCCATTATTTCCAAGTTGCCTTGATAGTTAAAGCAGTCTTTTTCTGTTGAAGCTAAAGAGGTGAGCAGAGTATGTCTGATTCCCTGTAAGGACTTGTCTGTTGACATCCACCCCTTGGTGCTCATATGACCTTATGCAGTTGCGAGCGTCGTAAAACCTCTACTAAAACAAAACAAAAAAAACAGTACACTTTTGGAAGAGTTCTATTCATAGATGAGTTACACCCAGCCTAAGGAAAGGGGGGTTGGGGTGGGGTGGGGGTGGAGTAGACCTTTATCATCAAACGTTGATTGTGTTTAGCAGGTTGGGACGGTGAGAAAGACAACTGTAGTCGGCATCATATCCTTCAAACTTTGCCTTTTTTCTCGACAGCATTACCGAAAGGTTATGAAAATTTCTTCACGGCGAATACTGAGCAGATTGGGAGTACCAAGCAGTACAGATGTCGAGTCTTCCAGAGTTCCAACCGGCCTCTTGACCGTTCTGTAGTGCCTTCCCTGAATATGGTGGTTGAAGTGAGTATTTTGAGAATGTTAAGAAGTCAAGATCCTGATGGACTTCCGCATCATCATCATTGCCTTTCTCACCCTGCACCAGGGTATAGGCCACGGACAAACACTTTCCACCTTTCTCTATCCTGGGCTAGCCGCTTGATGGTTTTCCATGTCTTCCCACTTTTCTGTTTATCAATTTCTGTGATTCTTCTCCAGGTTGAACACGGTCTTCCCCTTGATCTCTTACCCTGTGATTCCAGTCCATCACTTTCTTTGTTATGCAGCTGCCTATCTTCCTGAGAGCACGTCCAATCCATCGCCACTGCCTTCTTCCTACCACATCTCTGACTGGGATCTGTCTTGTTTTCCTTAACACTTTCTCGTTGGTGACCTTGTCTGTCCATCTGATCCTCACTTCCACTCCAACAATACAACAGTTGTGTTGAGTTGTGTTTACCGACGCAGTCAACATTGTCCTAGACAGCCACCCATCACTGAGGAAGAAAATAGTTGTCTGAGATAGGTGGACGTCTTGGGCTGTGTCGTTTCAATGTTTAAAATTTCAAGGAGGGGGGGGGGAGTTGGAAGGGGTTGTTTGAATAATTTATACTGGAAGTTCCACATTTCACTTTGTACTGAGGAGCTGGATTTTATTGAAAGAAGCTCAACAGAGCGTTAATGAAATCAACAAGGGTAATAACTATAAGAAATAAGAGATTGTATTTTTTTGGGCAATATTTTAAACGAGGCGTCATCTTGTATCTATCCTTCATGTTTACTCATTTTCATTTTGTTTTGTATCACTTAAATGGAAGTGTCTACGTACTCCCCGATTGGGGTCTACGTAGTCATGGTGTCTAGGTGGACCCCAAAAATGTTGGATTGTGATTGGCTCGCTGAGCGAGCGGTAGTTTACATTGGTTACAACAAAGATACTACATCCTACGGTAGGTTGTACTATCTTTGGTTACAATGCAAGGCTACTGATCATCTCGGGCGGTGTGTCGATCTAGTGTTACTATAATTTATTTATTTTAGCCCAGAGAGAGAGTATTTAATGAATAAACGTATCTAGATCTAGAATCTAGATCTAATCTAGATGTCTAGATCTAGATCTATCTAGATCTAGATCTAGAATCTAAATCTAGACCGAACTGCACCCTCTTGGCTGGGTGCACAACAAAATCTAGATCTATACTCTAGATCTACATACGTTTATTCATTAAATACTCT